AGCTAGAGTAGCACCCTGGTTCCACCCCCAGCCACACCTTTCCATGTCCCTTTCAGACACTGATTCAGAGGGACTGGGAATCTGACGTCTTGTTGAGTCACCGGGTGGGGTCAGTCAACTCACTTCCCAGACACCGGGTCTTTGGAGGTGCCAGCCTCCCAAGTGGAGCTCAGGCTGGCTGGCTCCAAGTGCACTCTGCGTGGTGCTGGTTCATGGTGAGTGGAGTAGATCAGTCAACCCTTGAGGAGAATTTGCAGAGGAAGCAGTGCTTATTTCAAAAGAGCTGCCTGTGTAGCCTCTGGTGTAGTGAGAGGCAGGAGGTGGCATCTTGCAAGGCACATGGTCACCTGCAGGGGAAGTTCGCCCTGTGTACTATGCAGGGCACTGCTGCACCCACCAGCCAGGTGAGCTTATTGCCCAAAGAAGGAAACAGGGAGGACCCACCTACTTCAACGAACAAAAGCAGGAGACAAGATACTGGTAGAGCAGTTTTTCCCTGTCATCTAGCTGTGATGCCCGAAGCATTAATTCTTCACATGTGCCACTCGATTTATGGGCAGACAGGAATGGAGAAAAGCTGGAGGATGTGATGATGCAGTAAAACATCAGTGAAAACCCTTTTGATCTGTCTAGCATGGCCGGACCTCTTCTTTTCTCCTTTTATGTGGCATGAAATCACCAGGGTGGGTCAGCCAGGAGTGGATGAGTCAATAGTGTCACTCCTGTTGCTGTAACTGGGAGCCGCAAAGGTTTTCGTTTGCACGTGATAACTGCCCCCCATCCCCCCTGAGAAAGCGCTGCACCTCCCTCCACATGCGTCTATCTCGCTGTTGCAGACAGGCTCTTCTACTTTCCCTGGACATGTGGGATTTCAGCCCTGCTGTCTCTCCCCATACCTCCAGTGCTAACGGACAGGTAGTCTGAGCACCGTAAGGCATTTGTGCCTGAGGAGAAGAAAGCTGTGGTTATGTTCCAGTTGCTTCTTGCCCACTTTTTGCTTTAGTTCTCTTTTGGCTTTGCATTGGTCTTTTTACAATGTTTGTTGGAGCTAGGAGCAGAGGAGAACAGGGTGTGTGTTTGGAACTAATGCAGGCTTCTGCTTTTGGTGGTGTGGTAGATTGGATACTCTGAAAAGCCCTTTCAACAGAAGCAACTAGGATGCCGAGTAACTGTTTATTAAAAATGTTTTAACTTGTTACGAAGAAGGCTCAAAAGAAACCCATAGATCCTGAAAATTAAGCAAAAACTGAAATCCCAAACTGCTAAAGGCTGCTTTTACTCAAGATCGTGCCCGACTTAGCAGGCCTTAAGCTTCTATAGAATATGAGAAAGAGGAAATGACAGACCAGCTTCAGTGTGCAGGTGGGCAGCAGTCAGCTCACTCCACAGACAGTGACCCCAGCCTTGGAGCCAGATGGGGAGGGGGCGTACAAAATGCCTTCCCCCAGAATCCCTGCCACAGGAGTTTCAGCCCAACTCCAGGCCACCCGGTGACCCAGAAACCGGGGAGGGAAATCTGAAGAGCTCAGCTTGTCATGGTTCCGTGTGACTTCCGGAAGCAGCCCCTGTAGAGAAACACCCAAGGCCAAGGCAGGTGAAAGTTCACGGAGATGAAGGAATGGAGAGAGAGACTGGGGACAAACAGGCAGAAGCCAGCCCTTAAATCCTGAGGACACTGGTAGCTGTCAGACTATAACAGAATAACTTCATTAATCAGCTAAAACAGGTTTGAAAATGAGATTTTAAAAACCCAGAAGGTCTAGGGCAATGATGGTGAACCTTTTAGAGATGATTGTCCTAATGCAACCCAAAACTCATTTATCAAAAAGTGCCAGCACTGCAATTAACCTGGAACACTGAGGTCTTTATAGAAAAAAAAATCATACATTACCAACTTTTGTCTTAAAAGAAAAATAGCACTTTTGTGCCATAGTTTTGCCACTACTGATCTAGAGGGAAAAGCCTTTTGAAGTATTAAGTGGATGGGTTAAATAGACAAATTGAAAGGCTACTGAAATGGAAGTTCTCCACTCACCTAGAATAAGAAAAAGGGGCAGGGGAAGTGGGAGGGGTAGGGGAAGGAAAGAACGGAAAGGAATTAACATGAGAAAATGAAAAAATGGAAACAGTCTTTGTAAATAGAGATGGGGGGGAGTGGTTGAAGGGAGGGCAGGGGAGTGGGGAGAAAAAAGAACTAAGATTATGTAAAGGTGCAAACCTCCAGTGATGAACATCATTATATTGTATACCGAAAATGTACCAATAAAATTAATTTTTAAAAAAGAATAGGACAAATAGGAAAGAAACTGAGATATGGATAAAGGAGTAAGAATGTATATTACTTGGAGTTTTGGGAAAAGGTATAGGAGGAGTAACATTTAAAGAGAATGGCTGATAGTTTTCAGTTTGGCGAAAGCACTGAGACTCAGATTCGGGAGGCCCAGTTCCGGTGTGGGGCACAGACTTGTGGTCGAGCAACCTGGGAGGCTCAGGATTGAGGGTCAAGTTCGAGGCAGGCTCGTCTCAAAAAGGGCCTTGATGTAGCTCAGCACTCCTTGGGTTCAATTCTTGGTACCAACAGACAAATAAAAATTGAGAAACCCGATGACTCCCAAGCAAAAGCAACATATCTGGGAGCATTAAGAAAAGGTGTAGGAAAGCCAAGTGTGGAGCTAGAAATAATAGATTACTGCAGAAAACAGCCAAGGCAGATAACTTCAGCATCGACAGCGGAAGAAAGCGGCGTCTCGGTCTCTCGAAGAACGTTACCGAAGGCCTGGGGTGTAGCTGTGTGGCACCAAGCCTGCCTGGCAAGTGCAGCATCCTGAGTTTGATTTCCGGTACTGCAAAAGAAAGGAGCATTAGGGAGGAGGCGTACATCTAGGGAAACTGCCTGAGAAGAGGAGGCCGAGCCAGGCACCGGAGGCCCTCTGGAGCTGAGGCAGGATTGTGAGTAGGAGGCCAGCCTGGAGCATGGCAAGACCCTGTCTCAGAACGCTTCCCGCCGGGACTGGCCAAGGAGGCCTGAGAACCTTCTCAGACAGCAGTTCCTCTTGCAGAAGGCCGTCTGGGAGGGGAAGAAGGTCAGCTGCAAGAAGG